CCGCCGCCCGGCTCCCCTCCCGGCTCAGAGGCGAGCGAAGAGGCGCTGGAGACGACGGGGTGGGACGCCGAGGGGAGAAGTTGCTCCCTTCGGACCGATTCCACCTTCGGAGGATGTGATGTCACCCGTCGCCCCGCTTTTTGCGGTTGTCACCTTCCAGCCCAGCGAGGGGGCTGGGGCCCTTGGGTAGGAGCCGTCGGGGCAGCCTGGCGGGGGCTGGGGCAGCTGAGAACTGCAGGCTTGAGGTTGAAGAAAAGGGTTGGGACACGGCCCTCCCTCGGAAATGGCACTTCTGTGGGGGTGGGAGAGTGATGCGAGGTTAGAGGCTTCAAAAACCCAGGGCGCGAGCGAGCAGAAATCAGAGAGAGAGTCCACTTGGTTTGCCCTTTCTCAGTGTTTCTAGCGCGGTTACCTTGGGGCTTGGTCTGCATGAAGGGCATCGAGGGCTGAGAGGGAAGCGGGTTAATGGCTTGCCCACTTCTCGGCACTGGGTCAGGGGAGCCAGGTGGTCACCCAGGAGGGACCGTGGGGCAGGCGGTTCCGGTGGACCACACCCTGGCTCTCTCCTGGCCTGTCCTCCAGTTGTGAACGTTAGTCTCATGAATCTGATAGCAGGACCTGAGAGTGTCACTCCTGCACCTCCGGTGACCTGCAGGACTGACCGGATGAAAGCTTACCCTGGCCCAGCTCAGAGGCTTTGAGTGCTGGCTTCCCCCAGCCTCTGCCCAGTTCTTCCCCGCCCCCCACCCCCCAATGCACTCCCTCTCACAGGCCTTGAGATTGTCTGAGCTCCTCTTGCCTTTGCTGGTCCCTGTGCTTGGAAGACTTTCTGTGTCAGCCCTGGGGCCAGCTCCCGGGCTGTGAGACCTGGACCCCATTTCTCTGTATCCCAGGTCCTGGGTGCTGGGAGGGATATGGGTGTAGCCAGGTGAATGCTTGGGTGAATGCAGGCAGTTTTCCCTCTCTGCCCTGGCACACATGGCCCCTTCCCCTTTGTCTATTGCTGTCCTGAAACCTTCCAGACCCAGGGGGTGCCCTCCTCCCAGTTTTTCGGGGCTTCCAGACCTGCCCACTTCGAACCCTATATTGGGGGCACTTCAGACTGTTGCTTAATTCTGGAGCCAAGCCACCTGGCATTATCTGTTCTATGTGTCCGCCTCACCTGTGAGTTCTGTCTGGTGGGGACCATGTCCCAGATCTCAGCTTGGGCTGAGCTGCGTTTATGAACTGTACTCCCTTCGTGGAATCCTAACAAGTGTCGAATGGACTTAAAAAAAAAAATGACGTTGATTTCCATGCTCCCCTTCCCCTTCTCAAAGCATCAAGATGCTTACTAAAACATGGAGCCTTTAACATTTTCTATTTGAAACTGTTTTTAAAGTGTCTTTTAACTTACAAGAATCGCATATTCTTGAAAAACTTCAGACAATACAAAAAAGAATAGAGGGAAAGTTCTGTCTCAACTTTCCTCATAGTCGTCCATCCCCCAGAGAAAATCACTGTTACTTTTGAGTGTGTCCCTCAGATATTATCTGTTCATAGACAGATGTTTATATATTGTTTGAGATACATGCAGTTGTACCATATATATATATGTGCAACTTACCTTTTTTATCCAACAATAGAAGGAAAGATTTTCATGTAAGCTTATGTAGAGTTACCCCATTCTTCTAAGTGGGTGCATTTTCATTTAAGCAGTTTCTCAATTTTTGTAATTACTAGCAAGGCTGTAGTAGATATAATGTATCTGTATCCTTGAGGACTTGCACTGGTACATGTAACATTTACACATTAAAGATAAGAGAGGTTGGGAAGGAAACCCTTGATAATTGTGGTTATGAAAGGGTACACGGAAATGGATCCCCTGGCATACGGATGTGTGTGTGTGTGTGTGTGTGTGTGTGTGTGTGTGTGTGTTCCTGGGTGTATAGACACAGGGCTGGGCCTTAACTCACGTAAGTGAAAGTAACAGCTAAGTCCAGACAGGCCATGGACGTGGCAATCCTCATTTTAGGTAGCAGCTTGCCATTTTTATTTGTTTATCTAATTTTTTGTTAATCCTCACCGGAGGATATATTTTTTCCATGATTTTTAGAGAGAGTGGAAGGGAGGGGGAGAGACACAGAGAGAGAAACATTGATGTGAGAGAGACACATCGATTGGTTACCTCCTTCACACAAGCGGGGCCAGAGATTAAGCCTGCAACCGAGGCAGGTGCCCTTGACCTGAATCAAACCCGCCAACCAAGGGCCGATGCTCTAACCACTGAACAACCGGGTAGGGCGCAGCTTGCCATTTTGCCTCTTCTGTTCCTACTGCAAGGGTGTCAGATGGCCCTGCTGGCCAAAGGATGCAACTGGGGGGATGGTGAAGAGGACGGACAGCTATGGAAGTATTCCTCCTCCAGTGGAGGAAGCATGGAGGGGAGCCAGGGTCCACCTGCAGATATTTGGACCTTGGAAATGATGCCTTTGAGTACGATGATGGTCAGATTTTGGGGTGCAATACAAGAAAATAGAGTAGTCCCCTCTCAATCTCCAGGAAATGAGACTTGGAGGCCTTCCAGCCTGTGGCTAAGCAGAGCACGAGCCCTGGGAGAGGCAGCCCCCTTTGCACAGAGCGACGGAGGGTGGGGGGGATGCCAAGGCAGCATGTCAAACCCACCAAGGAGGCTTTGTGACCCCAATGATATTTTTCACAGAACGTGGTGGATTTTCAATGTAACCACAACGACATCCGCTGTGTATCAGGCAGAAGAGCAGATGCAATTGCGAAAGTTTTGGGGCTGCTTGCTTGCACTGGGGCCAGGTGTGCAGAGGGCTGGATTTGGCCTGCCTCTCGCCTCCAGGTGAGCTCCCACCCACCCACTGCAGCACTCACCCGGGGTGGCGTGAAGAGATGAGAACAGCTGCACTCGTCCAGCAAGCCCCTTATTTTTGAAAAGAATCCAGAGAGAAAGAGAGAGAGAGGGTGAGAGAGTAAGCTTCTGTGCTGAACTGAAACAGGTCTTAATATTTCTCAAGGTGTTTGTTCTTAAAACATGGAAATAAAATAACTTTAAGAAATATTCAGACTGCATAACCGGGTGGGGCAGTGATAGGAAAGTAATTAGGGCTCAGTGTCACTGTCCCTAAGATGCTGACGGACGGATGACCTGGAATGATGGCTAAATCGCCTGCTGTCTCTCTCCCCTTGCCTAAGGAGATGCTTGTTGGGGCCTAGAAGGCTTTACAAGGCCTTGCTTTATCTCGGCCATAAATATGTACCTGTCAACTCTATCTCATTTTTGCCACTCCCACTTCCCTCCACCCTGGGAACCTCCAAGCTCAGGTAGGCTGCTGCCATCTCTTGCCTGGACTTCTGCAGTGGTCACCTAACCGGCCACCCCACTTTTACTCTGTCCCTTCCATTGCTTCTGGTCCTTTCCAGTGGAAACCCTGTCCTGCCAACGCCCTGCTTCAATCTGCAGGGGCTTCACTGGGCCCTAGGGGAAAATGGGGTGGTCCCCAAAGCTGCCCGAGGCCCTGCATGCTCCGCTCTCCAGCCCTAACGCCACCCTTTCCCGCTCGCCTTCATCACGTGTAGTGGGCGTGGCGTCTTGGTGTTTCTGAAAGGGTCCTTTTTCCTTCAATGCCACTGAGCAAGCTGTTCTCTAAGCCAGGAACGCCCTCAGCTCTGCTCAGTAAGACCTGGCTCAAGCCTCTGCTCTCTATGGAGCTCAGCTCCTTGTCCCTCCCCCCACCCCTGTGTGGTATAGACTGTCTGGACCTTGGGCATCCCTGGACTGCAGCACTTATACTGCATAGCAACGGCTTCTTTGTTCATCATCTTGATGACCAGACCCTTGGTTCCTCAAGGAAGAGGCCCTGTCTTGCTCATACATATGTATAGTGGTGCCTAACAGAGGGCGTGGCACCCTCTTGGTCTCGAAGAAACCCTTGTTTGGTAAATGCTAAATGAGAGCAAAAGCAGGTGCAGCAAGCCAGAGGAGGTAGAGATAGTTGACTTCAGGTAAGTGGGGACATGAAAGGCTTTACAAAGTGTCTGGTTTGGATATAAGGTTAGAATTAGGAGAGAGGTTGGTTAGAATGAGGCATGGGACTTGGTCAAGATGGTGCCGATACGATGGTTGAATACTTAGTCATGACATGGTTGAAAGGAAAAGAAGGAGGAAGAGGAGAAGGTAGATGCATTAATAGCGTATAAAAGGATATGTAACTCAAATTCGGATGTGAATTCACTCCAGAAGAGATGCAAATGATGTAACAGTCTGAACAGAGTTTAAAATAAAGAGAGTAGCATGCAGAAAATGCAGAAATCAAACAGGAACAATTGAAGGATGATAAATATTGAGCATATTGGGAATGAGAACCTTAGCTATAAACATACACTCCACATTGGACATAGTTGAAGGGAGAATGAGTAAAAAGGGAGCTAGCACCGAGGAATTCACAGAGAACGCAAAGCAGGGCAGTACACGCAGAAGCAGTGAAGAGAGGAGCAGTTTGAGAAGCTGTTGAGATGTGTCTCAGCACTGTGAAATGTGTAGTGGGGTTTCAGAAAAAGGGGAATAAAGGGAATTTAGAGAAGGACTATTGGAAGAGATCATGGCTGAAGACTCTCCACAATTAAAGACACAAGTGTTCTCAGAGTGCCAAATAGAATAAGTGAAAATATATCCATTTCTAGAACATTCCAAAGTGAACCACAAGACATCAAAAGCAAAGAGAGAAAGGCCTCCCAGAATGTCAGAGGAAGCTGGGACAACATTATGCCGTGGATTCATTAACAAATCGGATCTATCCAGTTCCCTTTCT